AAATACTTTTAAGTAAACTTTTTCACTAGATTATTAAGTATATATATTTAAAATTTTATATAAATTAAATAAATATTCATTAAATATAGTCAAAAATAAAATATCTGATTTCTTTTATTATATACTATAAATTACTTTATAATTATATCTTTTTATAATTATTTTTTTTAAGTTTTTTAATTATTAATTAATTATAATTAAAAAAATTTCTTTATAATTATATCTCTTTTTAATTATATAATTTTATTTTTTTAAATATAGTAATTATAAAAATAATTTATTTATAATATAATAATTATATAATTATTATAAAATTATTTTTAATATAATAAAGTAATCAAGTCTATATATAAAAATTTTAAAAACTTTATTATATATTATATTAAGTAAAATTATTATATAAATTGTTTCTAAATTCAAGTGTATTATATTATAATTTTAATTAAATTTTATTATATTAAAAAATTATTATATTAAGAATATCTTTATATATTAAAAAATATATTTATTATAAAAAAATTTTTAAAGTTCTTAAAATATTTAAAAAAAATTAATATATTTATATAAAAAAATTTAAATAATAATAATAATATATTATTTTGATTTTTTTTGATTAAAATTATATATAAAAGTAATAATATAAACTTTATTTAGAATATAAATAATATTTTTAGCTATTTTTCTTTTTTTAGAAATATTAATTTTATATAATTTATTTAATATTACTAATTATAATATATAATTTAGTTATATTAATAATAATATAAAATTATTATATCATATTTTTTTATTTTATTTAATTATTTAATTATTTTATTCTTAATATAAAAATTATTTAATTATATTAGTTCTTTATAATAAGTATTATTTATTTATAATCTTATTAATTCTTTATTCAAATACTTATTAAAAAATAATTTATATCAAAATGCTTGATATATATATAAAATAATATATTAGATTATAATTCTAATTAAGAATTATATAAAATAATAATATATTATAAAAAAGATATATATAATAACATAAAAAGATGAATAATAATAATTTTTTTTAATATATTTTTAATAAAATATAATTTAAGTAACTATTTCTTTAATTATATTATATTTTATATATAAAAGAGTATTCTACTTACTTACTTTTCTTATAATGATATTATGTGTTTTGCTTTTAATTCAAGATTTGCAAATTTCAAATTTTATCTTATTTTAATTTTTCATAAATACAAATACTGTGTTACTTATTAAAATCATCATATATGATAATGATATAAAGAAGATATAGAAGAAAAATTAGAAATAGAGAAGCTATTTAATATTTTATTTAAATCAACACAAATTAAACAGTAAAAAATAATAATCAATAAATATTCCAATTTGTAATATAAAATATATTATTCTTTCAAATATTACTAAAAAAAAAACTTAAGTTTATCATTCAATTTTCTAAGTTCTAATTAATTAAATGATGAATTTTATATTCCATTCCCCATTACTGAATCTTGAGATATTGAGTCTTAAAGAGATAATATGAGAAAAACCAAACTCTCGCTAATTCTCTTATGTTTTTTTAAGCTTTTATAAAAATACCCACCAGAAAAATAATCTCTCATAAATTCCTTAGCAATATTCCGTAAATTAACCAACAAACTTATAATGCATAAAAATTATTAACCTATATATTTTTAGTCTCTTTGAAACTCAATATCTCGATTTGATGACAGAAATTAAATATAAAGCACACCATCAGATTTTCTAGATTCTGATAAATCAAATGATGGAGCTTATACTCAATTCCGATTATTGAATCTTGAAATTCCAGAGAAGTTATACATAAAAATTATTTAATAAAAAACAAATCTCTAGTATTACATATATACTAATGAAAAAGCTGACTAGAATACGCCGACTCATAGCCGGCTAGCCGAGCTAATGCTTCAATGTGGCACAAGTCGATCTCGAAAAATTTTCATATGTCCGGAAATAAGTAACCTATTTTGGTGATCGTCCGACAATTTCTTATTTAAGAATTTGGAATTAATAGAATAGGAATACACAAATTTTTAGTCAACTATTTTCGGTCATACATATATGGTAAAAAAACTATTTATAAATAAGGAAATTCACATGATTATTACTTGAGTCGGCTAGGCAAAACAAAAATGCCAACTCAATTTTGATCGGCAAAAATCTTATATAGTGTAAAATATTCATAATTACATTAAAATCCTTAATTTCATAATTTTATAATGCCGTCTTAATCTTAGCAAATGCCATAAAGCATGGGGATTTAAGAATTAGATTTTTAATATCAATTATGCTGGAATTACTAAACGTTAGCTCTCGAATGTTCATTTGAAGCAATCACATGTCCTGATTTTCTGTATACGGTCGCAGATTTTTATTAGAAGAGTTTGACTATAGTTAAGGCCTCGTGAAAGCGGACTGACTTGTCTTGCAATTACACTTATATTTAATTTCCTGACAATGACTTACTGTACCACGACATACATAACTTGTAATATTCAATAAATTTGTTATGAAATGTTAAAAAATATTCTAAGGTTATATAATCGTGCGCTCGTTCGTCAACCTATCTTGACACAAGCTTTCATGACAGGTATCCTTAGATGCGTCGTCACGCTGATTTAATTTATAACGTCAAGTAATAAATAAAAAAAAAGTTTTATATTCATCGTAAAGGTGTCTTATTCGGAACCGGTGATTTGATAGCGCAAAATATTGAAGAAAAAGAAAATGATAATTATACTTTCAAAAGAACTGCGAGGATGGTGATATTTGGAACTATAATTGCGGTATTTATCTAAACCTTGTGGATCCTTGTTCAATCAATTGAATACCCTTTAATTGATTGAATTGAATGACCAAAGGGACCAATGCTTGCGAACTGGTATAGATTTCTCGATAAATATGTGACAATAAATAATCCAGTAAAAGGTAATCTCTTTGATGTTGGATCTCTAAATAAATAGCCACCTCAATGATGGTATTTCTCTCAAAACAAAGCGCTGCTTGTCCGAGTTGCGTTAGATCAAACGTTTTTCGCGCCTTGTTTCATAGCCACCTTTTTCAGCGTGCAAGGTGTGATGGAAGGGTTATCTCGTCAGGAGATCAAACAAAAGTTAGAAACGGTATTTTGTTTTGACAATCCACCTCTTTTGATTTTATCATCATTCAACAACATATTAACTCGGTATAACACCTTCAAGGCATATCCAAATGCGCTTCTAAACAACTATAAAATCTGGCCGGCCGTGCAGCTAATAAATTTTCGTATTGTGCCGTTACAACACCGAACAATGGTTACCAATATGGTGGCCCTCGGATGGAACACATATTTATCAATAGAAAATCGCAGAGCTCAAAACCATATCTCACTGTAAAATAATGAGAATGAAACATTCGTTTAAATAAAGAAAAATACAAGGAAGGATATCAATACATCTTAAAGAATAACACATTCTTTTTTATCATAATGTTGTCAGATGCATTATGCTCTTTGAATATTTGACAACATCTATCGATATTATTTATCTACAGAAGCAACGGAAGACCGTCGATCACCGGCTGTTCAGGAACTTCGAGTGGGCCAAGTCGTTCAATTTGTTGAATCGTAGTCTGAGTCTTGTGAATCTCCTTGTCGACCATCCACTGTGCTTTAGTTACCTCCCATTTTGCTTTTTTGACACTTTCATTGAGTTTTTCAGCAGCTTCATTCAGCCTCGCAGACTCTTGACGATATCGAGCGAGCTATTAACATGATTGAGAAAATACATTGTTTGTATTTAATGTTTTGAGAAAGACATCATGCGTAGTAATAAAATAAAAATTTTTACCTTCTCCTCTTGTTCTGGCGCGATTGGTGGAAGCGGCACCGGTCGTACCGGCGTATAATAATTATTATGAGGACGATGATGATGTCCACTTCCACCACTATGTATCGAGGATGAATAAGGGACATTATGATAAGGTTGTTGTGGACGTGGCTGATAATGTGAACTTTGACTTTGGTGGTGATATGATGAGGTTGGTTGTTGCTGTTGCTGCTGTTGCTGTTGCTGTTGCTGCGGTGGTGGTGGTTGATGGTGGTGTTGTTGATGTTGATACATGCTAGAGGAGGAGTTACTACGACCATGTGTATATAATGGTGCTGAACTCGTAGCACTACTACTATGATAATAATTACTATTACTACTACTTGAACTATTACTATTAAAGTCTCTCTGTCCATGGGTCATACTACTGCTGCTGCTGCTGCCACTGCCACTATTCCCTCTAGAATAAGGATGATAATATGGTTGTGTTGCTCCACGATATGGAGTTCTTCGATCATATGGAGGGGGTGGCGGATTAGGTGGTAAAGGAGGTCTTGTATCCCTCGAGGATGACGACGACGACATCAAATATGAGGGCACTTGCCCTCGAAATGCGGTATAGGGTGGATCTTCACGTTCGGCGTACCGAGAAACAGGAGGCGGTGGTAAAGGAGGGTCTCGCGAATGGTAATCGTTACTGCTGTTTGTTGAGCTGCTGCCACCAACTCCACTACCACTCACGTAATTCCTGTTGGAGGAGGAATAGTGAGACGACGTAGAATATGTGCTGCCATCACGTTCCGAAGTATACGAATTTGAGCGGTAGGTTCTGTAGTCTGACGAACGTCTTGGGTCGGTTCCACGATCCATTTTCTCAATTTATTTGAGATTATTAATTAATGTTTATATTTGGGTAGGATGTTCATGTTACCAATGAGGGAATAATACATGGCAAGGGGAGAGATATCGCGTAAATTTTTTAGTTTTTTATTTATATTTTAGCATATTGGTATCATGAACAATATTGTGTGCATATTTCACTGAAATTTTGGAATGCAACATAATGTAACAGCACAAATGCTTAATGAAATAGATATATAAAAGAAGATTTTTTTGGATTTAATGTGTAGCCCACCGCATCGCACGCAACCCAGCACGAAATCCATCCGTTCACAAATACTTACAGAAAAAAATATCAAATATAATACTTACATAACGTAACCCTCGCCATTATCCATCACGTGGAAGTAGTAAAGATTGTTAAAATAAATAAAAATAAATAAAATTCAAAACTGTACAATAATTTTTGATAAGAAAAAAAAATAATAATGATGACAATGGCGATGATGATGATGATGCTGATGATGATGTTGATGATTGATGATGATGAATGATGATAAAAAAAAATGATTTTGTGATAATATTGTTATATAATAAATGACTTTCGATGGATGCTGATAGATGAGAGGGCGATAAAAGGAATAAATATAAAATCTATGGATAAATGAGAAATAGATTCGAATTTTGATATATTGTCCCCTTTTTGTGATCGTGCATGTTGTGATTAATTTGTATGTTCGTATGTGTGTGTTTTGTGATTTATCTCCTTAACTCTTATTATACAAGCGCTTGATCGTTTTTTTAGTCAAATAGCCGGATCGAGCATTCAACTGTGCGTGTTTATGATGTTTTCGATAACGACAAAAAAAATCGGGTGACCCCATCCAATAATAATAATTAAAACTATTTTACAAAAATATTGCCGAATAAGCAACTCATATCTTTGTAAAATAGAAAGGATTACAAAAAAATAAGCATTCCTTCATTCAAACTTTCATAATCACCGATAAAAAAGTAATCACCTTTCCTGCTATCCATCAGGAAACCATTTTCTCGTAGCCTCGTTCATTATATATCGTCCATTCTCGCTATCCCACCGCTCAAAATAACAGCCAATCGATTCGGTAGTTATCGGGCCCAGCGCCTTCGCAAGCTCCCAATCATCCTCATCACCCATATAGTCTCCGTAGAGATTTATAGGTATCATTCGTTTTAATCGATCAGAGCTCGGCGGCTCATTCACTAGACTTTTTTCACCGCAATATAGAAAGACTCCCCGTAGTGTTAACACCTCATAGAATGGTTCATCCTTCGGTGAATCCAAATCCTAACAAGGTTACAATAATCATGCAAGTATGTTAAAAATAATGATGATAATCGGGTCACGAATCAAAACAAAGGATTTAATAATTACCATCCATTGAAACTTTGCCACATTCTCTGCCATATTAGCATCGTAAGCTGCAACGCGAAATTATTTCAAACCTGAAAAATTAATACTTGCCCGTGCTTATCAACTTGAAATCATCACGAAAGAAAGGAAAAAAGATCCCAACCTCGATCCCAACGACAAACAACACCCAACGCATCAAATTTATTAAAACAGACAATATCACCAATAAAGAATTTTGGGTCACGTTCTCCGCCACCACGAGTTAACGCTCCTGAGTAATCCCATTCCGTAGAGTCATTTGCTTCCATAGCCTCAATATCTGCTTGCACATTATTAGCCAACTTTTGCCACATTTCATGTTCTTTCCAAGTCCCTTCCCCTATAAATTGTTCAATCTCACTTAATGCCACTCTGCCAAGCTCATAATCTTCGGGATACTTGAATCTCGTCGCGACAAACGACCACCAGACTTTCATTATGTCGCACAATGCCGTCAGATCACCCTCGCCGACGACTGGATGTGAAATGAATTGACGTTGAACAGCCGTCCCATAAATAATCTCGTCACTGTAACCTCGAATGTTCGTCAGACTTTGAAAATAATCGTGTAGAAATAATTTGAATAGGGTTTGCTGTGGGATTGGTTTATATTCCGGCCAAAATTCACCGTAATATTGTGATGCGTGTCGATCAAATTCATCTGCCGTCAGAATTCCCGTCTCGGAGTGTTTCTTAAAATCGATATAATAATAATCATTACTTCCCGATTCCACATCCGTATATCTGATGTAGTGATACCGTCGAAACGACTTTTTTTCACGATCGGCCACCACCTCGACACTCTCCAACCCAACTCGCTGTGCCAATGCCTCAAAAACAATGGCAAGCACGCAAGCTTTACCTTGTTTGGTCTCCTGTAACGGGCTAGTTATGTACATTAATTTTGTTTCGATGTCCAATACGGAAGCATCGGATGGGTATGTGCGTGTAAAAAATTCCGTTAGACGTTGAAATCTTGACATTTGCGTTTCATGCGTTTTCTCTGGACTTATCGCGATGAAATCCGCGGCCAATTCATCAACTTCATGCACGATGTCTTCAATATCTAATCGTTCATTAAAAAACGTTACCATCATTGCGAATCCATGTAGATTTGAGAGAGTGAGTGTGCCATTACGCCATGCTTTCCACTTTTCAACTACTGAAAATCGACGCGCATGCTGCAATACTCTTTTTGCGAAATAACTATGTGTAAGGGTGGCCTACAAAAAAGAATATTTTAATCATAACTTGATAACTTGACGCACCAACAGAAAATTATTATTGGCGTTGGAGCAAGGAAAAGAAAATATACCGTATTAGGATGATTCAATATCCACAACAAAACATCACGGCAGTTATCACCCAATTGTCGTAATTTTTTCATATTTGCCAAATAATGCGCACCACCGAATGTGAGGGTATCGAGGACTTCGAAGGCCCATTGATCTGTGGACAAGCGTGCAAGAAAAATTTGTCGCCATCCCGTGGCTTTATTCGGCTTCCATTTCCAATATTTCCACCTGAGTTGATTGTTGTCGATTCGTAGTGCATTCACAGAGGGAATTCGTTCATACAACATCAATAATTACAATATCACAAATATAGATCAGTTACTGGGACGTTAACAAGGGGAAACAGTTGAAATACAACGATCTAGATTGATGAAAGTATCACGGCAAGGAAATACATTGCGTCTCTCCTATCGCACGAAAAAATAATGCCAAGCGCACAACCCACCCCTGCATACCTTTCGTCACAGAATTTTTTCCATAGTGACTCGACATAACATGCGTCTCGCCATTTTTTTGATACTTGTGCACACCGCGCGACGTCTTCAGCTTCAAGGTAAAGCAGAACTTGCTTTAGCAAAGCTATCGGAAGTTCTGGACTCATGATAAAACTTCCTTGTATTGGATGCTGGATTTTCTCTCGATACGTTACGATAAATACTGATAATATGATTGCTCTGGTATTATTCGTTGCTCGTTACTTCGTAAGTGGAATTTTTAGTCATGGGAAAAAAAAATAGACCCAAATGTAACTCACACAATTGGATCACGCTTTTTGGATGGGGTAAGACGTGTCTTTGTCATATTAGGTTTTGCACGTGGATGTGTAACGTGGTGTTAGAAAAATGATGAATTTTTAAAATTGTATTATTGTAATGACACAAAACACGTGATTTAGTTCATGTATGTATTTTTTTCTCCCTAAACATCGAAAAACATGTAAAAACCAAAACACCCACCACCTAAAACTAATGTACATGCATGTATCTTACATACACATATACATAACAAATACCAAACACACTCTAACTATTCAATTTACAATTGGCCAATTTAGATTATCAGGTTATGAAACTATTAGTGAACGATTATGTTTGATAGAGATAACAAGCAAATCTTTTCCTTTAGTAATGCTTCTATCATACCCAATGGTAATATTCTCTTTTTTATTTGTTTGATTTCCAATTTTGGGAATTTCTAAAATCCTGTTGCCTCGCACAAATATAACCATATGCTCGTTGAATTTAAGCAGGGATCATGGACCCTCGTTTAATTATATCACGTTTCCTTAATGGAGAATAATTCATGTACTTAGAACCAATCAGATTTAGTTCACCTGCAGGTAACCCACCCGCATGATGAACTTGTGGTCATTTTCAGAAAAGCCAAAAAACCCCTTTCCACTCATATCTATCGTTATTAAACTTTCGCTATAATTGACTAATACTTCTTTCCCACTTTGAATTTTTTTTTTAAACCTTTAACTTAGTACACCCATTTTTTTGAACTTTCTTTTTCAGGTTAACTTAAATTCTATTGATAGAATCGTCTTAAACTATTATTTTTCTAATATCTTCCTACCCAATAAAAATATCCTCATCGTAAACATAAATCTTAAATTTAATCATGCAAACTATAAAATGTGTCGTGGTCGGTGATGGTGCCGTTGGGAAGGTAAATCAAAACCACACTTTTCTGATTTTTTGGCCAAGTTAAGAGAACTATGTCGGTTTGTCGAGGCGAGTGAGAAACCCTCGACCTTTTTTTTTTTGACCTTAAAAGACCAGACTTTTGATTGCAGTATCATGGGTTGCTTTCATTCTATGACAAAAAATAATTTTTCTGTTCGTTTTTGGTTCCGGGAAGAAACCATTCATCTTATCAAATTTAACGACTTTTTCATTTTGCATGTAATCATCGCAGACGTGTCTTTTAATTTCTTACACGACAAATAAATTTCCTTCGGAATACGTCCCAACGGTTAGTATCATTAATTTTTACTGAATGCTTATGAATTGGTGTGTATCGATATCAAATGTTCATCTGGGAGTTAGAAAGAAGTAGAAGGGGAAGGGTGCCAACAACATTCAAAGGATACTTTACGATTCTATGAATTGAATTACGACATGTGTTATTCTTTAGGTTTTTGATAATTATGCAGTTACAGTCATGATTGGTGATGAACCATATACATTAGGTTTGTTCGACACTGCTGGTACGTCCGAATTTTTTTTTATTTTTTTCATTTAACCTTTCGTTTCATTTTCAATCATACAATCATAAAACGTCTAACGATTGGTCGGTTGAATGAATGACGTAACAGGACAAGAGGATTACGATCGTCTTCGTCCGCTTTCGTATCCTCAAACTGATGTTTTTCTCGTTTGCTTTTCGGTAACTTCACCCGCATCATTCGAGAATGTCAAAGAGAAATGGTTCCCCGAGGTACATCATCATTGTCCCGGGGTTCCCTGTTTGATTGTTGGCACGCAAGTAGATCTAAGAGACGATCCGACTGTGGTGGAAAAACTTTCAAGACAAAAGATGAGACCCGTAACTTCAGAGCAAGGCGAGAGGCTCGCGAAAGAATTAGGAGCTGTGAAATACGTGGAATGTTCAGCGTTGACACAGAAAGGTTTAAAGAATGTGTTTGATGAGGCTATTGTGGCAGCGTTAGAGCCGCCGGTAACCAGGAAGAAGACCAAATGTTTATTGTTATAGAATTACCTTTTGTTTATTTGGGTTTCTGTAATGTGTAATTTTTGGGCGTCTTTTTCTTCTTTGATTGTAATGTTGAATGAAGAACATGCATTAATGAATTAATAATCAATCATTCATTCAGTCAAAAAGAATTTACATACCACACTATTAACACTAATATATAATTATTCTCTTCGCCTATTCATCACACATTCACACACACGCACACACACACACGCACACACACACACACACACACACAATATCTTACCACCATTATTACGCCTTATTTTTACATTCCTATTTACTGTTTATTATTATAGTTAGTTAATATGCTACGTGAACTGGCACGAGGTCCTTATCATTTGTATTACTTAGTTAATTTTTTTTCGTTGTCTTTCGGCCTTCCAAAAAGCAAATCATAAAAATTATCAATCACCACAACAAAAATAATACTACATTTAAAACTCTATCTTTTAATTAGTTTCTTTTTTTGATTGAGTGGGGACGTTAGAGCTTCATTTAATCGTTTATTTGAACCACCACGTAACACATAAAGGTCATCTTTTTCTACTTTACCATCAAAAATTTCTTTTTATTAATAACAATTTCTCTTTTTTTCTATTACGATATACTATTATTGCTATCGGCAAATCATCGATTAATTTCATCGGGGTTTGCTTTGAGAGTACAGAACGTATAATGAATATATATTTTTATTGTTTATTATATATTTTGGAAACTATCTTTTTTTTATCTATCATAATTGTATAAAGTTACATTTTAACTCTTTAGAATTTGGGGTTGGGAGGTGTATCTTTTGAATCGCCGGACGCGTATTGTCATTATCAAAATCATCGTCATCATCATCCTGCCTGTGTTTTTTTCCTACTTCCCATGAACTGAAAGGTTTTGAGATCATCCTTTTCTTATGCGCGCGCAATCTGGTGATGTTATTGTCGCTTCATCACCATTTTTTTAGATGAGCTGTGGGACGCGTTAGCTCGAGTGATGGTGGCAGTGGTAGTGGCAGTGCATCTTAATCAATGAATGTACTGGCCCATCCACCTAATTTTTGTTTTCGCGATAAATGAAATCTGAAGATTTGTAGTTTGTTAGAAGTAGCAATTGCAAAAGACGAATGTAAGAAACGTTGTAGATTATTCATCAATTCAGTTAGATTAATTGATAGATGAACTGTTAACTGTTCGATTTGGAATTTTGACGTAAGGGTATAGATGAAGTGCGATTGCAATGTTTAGTTTCTACCACAGAATACAACCGCATGTCGGAAAATATTTTGGTGATGGGGATGAAAGGTTTTGAACCATGGCCATGGTTGTCGTATACAGTCGAAAGTCCCGTATCGGTTTATTGGGTTTCTCGATGCATTACACCTGACATGGGCATGATAGTCTATGTTTGTTAATTTTTACATGTAACGATAACGTTTGTCAGCTGCTATCTGTCTCTAGGCATGTGTTGAACCAAATCATCGAACTTTTAGTTCATCGTTTTTACGCGTTTCTACATTCACTTACATTTCTACGTTCTTAAAGATGCTTTCTTAAAGATGCTTTCAATAAAAAAAAATAAAAAAAGAATCAGTTACTCTTTGGAGAGCTCAGTATTTATTGAAGATGACTGGCTGTTGCATTCATGTACTTAAAATATTCATAGCGTGAATCTACCAGTGATAGTCGTTAATAATTATGAAACATTATCTTTTCCACATAAATCTCGGAATTTCATGAGTAACTGACTTCAGCACATGTCGTATACGGGACCTACATGTGACAGTTAATATTTGATATCTTACCTACACTAATTTTAATATATGACTGAATGTGTTGGTCTCTTATAAATATTCTTGGCATTTGATCTCTTTCCGAGAGAACAGCACAATATAAAATGATTGCATGTGTAACAACAATGACGATGACATGACTAATGTCACAAATATTTAGTTAAAGCATATATCTATGTCTCATCTCGTTTTGCCCCGTCTCATTTGCCATCCTTTCCGATTCGATCTGTTTTTACACATTACGTATTATTATCAGTATTATCACAGAATATATGAACAAGACCCGAAATATTAATTTGAATTATTTGAATTGATGTTTTTACTAACGTTTGTGTGAATTATAAAGCCAAGAAACGAGTTGTGATAATGAAAAGTTTCTTATTACATGTATACCTTACGCGTGTAATGCTAAATAGATAGGTGGTTAGGAAGATTTCGATAAAAATAAAAACTCCACACGCAGATTTTTTTCTTTTATGATCTGCGCAACTTTTCAAAAAGCAAGCTAAATCAAAATAATAAAATCACATGATTTGGATCACTGGATCGTCCCGAAGTAACCAATCAATTGAGTCGATCATAGGATTAAAATTATTGGATGGCCACTATCATTATACTATTGGGTAACACCACATTTCGCTAAAGTTGCCTAATACTTATCGATTCCCACGGAGAATCATTATGCATGCACAAATTATGCGCATAATATTTATTAGCAAACCACGATTTCTTTATCTAGAAAGATATTTTATCAATGAGTTTTTATAAATTATTTATTGGGATATGGGGACATACTGTAATAGCGGAAAAATCGTATTACACAAAAAACATACAGTGACATGTATGTATCGTTATCGCTATGGCTACTACAGTATGCAACAAACTTTACATTAAGAATAATCAAGAACAAACCATTGTTGGCATCC